AAATTACTTTAAAAAAAAGATCCAAATGCAAGGCAGAGTGGTTTGGGGAGTTCTGCAAAAAAATTGATAGCTGTGAGAGAGGCCCAGCGTGGGGTGCAGCAAGGTTAGGCAGGGGATGGCAGCATGGTGGGGCAGGGGGAGGGTGAGCCAGCTCCCTCAGAAATTTCCTCCTCCCCAAGTCTTCCCTGCTCAGCCCCGACCACTCTCCAGATCTGCCCTCCCACCGTGCAGGTGTTGCCCACACCTGCCTTTCCTCCTTCCTCATGCGTGGGTGATGCACAGGGCTGTGGGTGACAAGACAGTTATTTTGCAAGACTCCCACACCTTTCGCCCCGCGTCCCAGCCCCATGCGTGCTGCCGCAGCCCATAACGAAGCAGGAGGGGATGAGCTGTCCTGACACCCTCCGGCTGCACCTGCACCCAAGTGCTGCGGGGTGAAGGGGGGGGTCCCAGGCCAAGGTCCCTCATGAAGCTGCACCTTTCCCCCACAGGCAGCCTGGCTGGGCATCAACATCTTCCTCTTCACGTACTACTTTCTGTTCTTTGACCGGGATGAGCGGTATTTCTACACCAGGGCCATCCTTGGGGTAAGGCACTCCGTCACAGCACCCTGCCTGCCCGGGCACGCGTGCCCCTTGGAGCCCTCCTGCAGTGGGGTAGGGGCTGCAGCATCCCATGCCCCTTCCTTGGCCTATCCTCTTCCACCTCACCCTTGCTCTGTCCCAGTCCTCATCCCACCATTGCTCCATGCTGGTCCCTGTTTTGTCCCAGCTCAGCATCACCCTCTCCCAGTCCTCCTCCTCCTTGTCTCCTGGCTCAGCATCACCCCCTCCCAGTCCCCAGCTCAGTCCACCATCGCTCCCTCCCAGTTCCCACCCCAGCATCACTCAGTCCCAGCTCAGCATCGCTTGGCCCCATCCTGTCCCAGTCCCGGCACAGCACCATGCTGGGCAGAGCTATGGGGGGGCCAACTGCGGCACAGGACAGCGGCGCTCACCCCCTGCTCCTCTCCCCAGTCTGCCTTGGCGTGGGCACGAGCATCAGCCAAGTGCCTCAACTTCAACAGCATGCTGATCCTGCTGCCTGTCTGCCGCAACCTCCTCTCCTTCCTCCGCGGGACCTGCTCGGTGAGTGCCCCGTGACGGCATGGCCAGCGTGGCCATCCCCGTTCCCGTCCCCATCCCGACACCACCACCTCTCCCCGCAGTGCTGCAGGCGAACGCTGCGGAAGCAGCTGGACCACAACCTCACCTTCCACAAGCTGGTGGCCTATGCGCTGGCCCTGCTCACAGGTACCACCCCGTGCTGGGTTGGAGCATGGTGGGGACTGGGAGGTGACCAGGTGGGTGACTGCCTGTCCTCTGCCCAGCCGTGCACACTATTGCCCATCTCTTCAACCTGGAGCGCTACAACCACAGCCAGCAAGCCACTGACCGCAGCCTCCCCGCCATCCTCTCCAAGATGCATCTGCAGGGCAGTGACAAGTGGTTGAACCCCATCCACTCCAACCAGACGGTGAGCACGGCCTGAGCATCCAGCCCCATGCCACCACCTGTCACCTGCCCCCCTAACCCATGCTGCCGCCCCTGCAGACCGTCGAGTACGTGGCCTTCACCACCATCCCGGGGCTGACGGGGGTCATCATCACGCTGGCACTTATCCTCATGGTCACATCCTCCACCGAGTTCATCCGCAGGAACTATTTTGAGGTCTTCTGGTACACACACCACCTCTTCCTCATCTACTTCATTGGCCTTGTCATCCACGGTGTTGCGTAAGGATCCTCACCGCTCCCCGAAGGCAGGACAGACCCTGGGTAGGGCAGCCCTGCCTGCCCCAGGGGAGTGGTGCAGCCCTGGAGAGGGTCCAGTGGGGCTGTGGGCTCCTCATTCCCAGGGCTGGCTATCCCAGCCAGCCTCACACAGCACGGCTCAGCCCTGGATAGGGGGGCAGGAGCCAGCCCCTGGGCTCACCCCTCGCCTCCCCGCAGGGGGCTGGTGCGGGGGCAGACCGAGGAGAGCATGGAGGAGGTGCACCCCCATCGCTGTGCCCGCTATCTCACACAAAAGGACGAGGACTGCAGCCACGACTGCTGCAAAGACCCCGAGTTCGGGAGCATCCCCGCCGAGGTAGGGCAGTGGCTGGCGGGACGGCTACAGGGGGGAGAACCCCTTCCCTTACCCATGGGGTGCTGCAGCCCTAGCCCTCCCCAATCCTTTGCTCTCCTCCATCTCTGCAGTCTTGGAAGTGGGTTCTGGCCCCCGTTCTCCTCTACATCTTCGAGCGGATCCTCCGGGTCTGCCGTGCGTGGCAGAAAGTGGTTGTCACCAAGGTGGGTGGTGCAGGAGCCTGTGCCTACTGCCAGCTCCTTCCCTCACAGCCACCGGTGCTGCAGCTCCTTGCCAGGGTGGTCGTGGGGAGGTGGGCAGAGGCTGCTGCCAAAGCCCCTTGCCCAGGGACAGGAACCAGGCTGGGCACTGAGCCCTATCCCTGCTCCGCAGGTGGTCATGCACCCTGCCCGCGTGCTGGAGCTGCAGATGCAGAAGAAGGGCTTCCGCATGGAGGTGGGGCAGTACATCTTCGTCAACTGCCCTGCCATCTCCCTGCTGGAGTGGCACCCCTTCACCCTCACCTCGGCACCTGAGCAGGACTTCTTCTCCATCCACATCCGGGCAGCCGGTGACTGGACGGAACGTCTGATCGATACCTTCCAGCAGCAGAACCTGGAGATGCCCAGGTAGGCTGGGGAGCACCAAAACAGACCATCCTGGGGATTTGGTGAGGTTGTACCTCTTACCCAGGCCCTCCCTTGGCCAGGATCGAGGTGGATGGCCCCTTTGGCACGGCCAGTGAAGACGTGTTCCAGTACGAGGTGGCCATGCTGGTGGGAGCAGGCATAGGCGTCACCCCCTTCGCCTCCATCCTGAAGTCCATCTGGTACAAGTTCCAGCAGGCTGACCAGACCCTCAAGACCAAGAAGGTATGGAATGTCCCATGGGACCAGCTGTGGGTTTCTGCATTCTGGGCTTCCCGATCCTTGACAGTGCATCCTTCCACCCTTCCTGCTCTGTTCTACCTTGAGCAACCCCTTTCCCCCTGATCCCAGATCTACTTCTACTGGCTCTGCCGGGACACGGGAGCCTTCGCCTGGTTCAATGACCTGCTTGCCTCGCTGGAGCAGAAGATGGCAGAGTCTGGCAAGGCGGACTTTCTCACCTACCGTCTCTTCCTCACTGGCTGGAACGCCAGCATTGTGAGTCGACCATGGGCGGGCAAGGGGGGACACAGGGTGGCCAAATCAAGCAGGAAAGGCAGGGCAAGCACAGCAACGGCTTGCAGGCAGAAGGTCTGGGAGCGGTGTTTGGTGGGCATCAGCAATGGATCTTCCTCCGTGGCAAGGGACTGGAGGTGGGCTCGCAGGTGGTGGCTGGGGTCCTCACCGTCCCTGCTCTGCCCAGGCCAACAACGTAGCGCTCCACTTCGACACTGCTACAGACACGGTGACGGGCCTCAGGCATAAAACCATCTTTGGGCGGCCTATGTGGAACAGCGAGTTTGCGGCAGTGGCCGCAGCCCACCCCAGGTGAGAACCAGGCAGGGGGTTTGGGGTGCTGGAGCCGGGAGGCACCCCCTCCTCCCTGGCCTCCAGTGCTCGGCTGGGCATCGCTGGCTTTGGGAGGGGCATGGTCATCCCCTCGCAGGTTGCAGGGACCCCAAAAAGCTCTTAAATCACTTTTCATTGAGCTGCCCGCCCAGTGCTGATGGCCCGGTACTGTGGGCAGGTCGGTGGTCGGCGTGTTCCTCTGTGGGCCAGGAGGCTTGGCAAAGAGCCTGCAGAAGTCTTGCCACCAACACTCCAGCCTGGACCCCAGGAAGGTCAAATTCTATTTCAACAAGGAGAACTTCTAAATGCCAGCCAGACTGGGAACCCAGTGGGCAGGGAACCTTGCCAGTCTCGCTTCACCCCCCATGCCAGAGCACAGCCAGGGATAAGCACCTGCTGAAGAGTGCATGCACCGAAGCCAGGCAAGACATGGCTTCTCCATGAGCAAGTCCAGGTTCAAAGACTGCTGCCTTCTTGACACTGTCTACAAGGGGTCCCCATGGAGAGAGTGGGCCTGCATCTCCACATGGCCCCTCTGTTGAGAAACCAGAGGCACATGCTGCGATGATGCTGCTGGAGCAGTGGGAAGCAGCAGGAGCGCCCAGCGGGCTGGGCAGAACCATGGGACGGGGATGAGGACGGGACATGGGCATGCCGAGCAGGCACTGGGGGCCAAACATGCCCCTCCGGGCTTGAACAGTCGTTTGTGTAAAAGGGTAAATTAAACTTGCTTTCCTTTGCAATAAAAGCCTCTGTGGTGACTCGGTCTGTGCAGGTACGAAGGGAGTCCACTCTTTGCCCCCTTGTAGGGCTGCAAGAAAAAAGCTGGTTCACAGCAATCCCTCCGGGGTGCAGGGTAAGGACCTCCCCCTAGAGCCAGCCCACACCACCTGCTGGGCACACACCAGCACACAGGCCAACTTCAAATGCAGCTCCTGCAAAGGCAACAAATTCAGCTCGAGCATATGCAGAAAAGAGGAAAACCACCCTCCCTGAGCAGACCAGCATGGTAACTGATACAGCAATTGGATACAGAGCCCTTCCCGCCCGGTCGGCAGGGACAGAAAGCCGAGCTCCCCATCCTGCCCTTTCCTTACACCCCTGTGAACAGCACGGCACATAAGAAATCCCATGAGTAGTTCTTGCCCTGCTGTTGGGGAGAAGGGAGGAAGGCGAGCAGTTTGGACTAGCCTGGAGCCAGGCCAGACTGCTCCCCGAACCCAACAGTCCCACTCCAACCTCTACAAGAGATCAAACAAGGCAGTCAGAGACATGGCTTTACTCAAACCCTCCTCCCGCTTTATTTCAAACATCATAAAATATACACACAGAAAAAAAAAGGATGAACGGGAAGGGAAAACATTAGAGGCGGGGAGGAGAAACCCCCCCGAAGGGAAAACATTAGAGGCGGGGAGGAGAACCCTCCCCGAAACGCAGCATCAGCTCAGACAGAATGGGAAACAGCTGCCATGGAGCATAGCCTCTGTCCAGGCGGACGGCATCTCCACCACGCGCCTGCTGGGGCTGTGAGAAGGAAGGGGAGGAGAGTGAGCCCCAGCATGGAGAGGAAAAGCAGGGCAGAGCCCTATCCTGTGCAGTTCTCCAGTTTACTGAAGGGGAACAGGCACAGGCCGAGGCTGAGTTAAGAATATCACCTGTCAGGGTGCTCCCGTGGACTTCTGGATTTGCTCCTTCAGAATAAGGATGCTCTGCCGTTGCTCCGGGGGCAGCATGGCTATCTGGTCTGCTGTCAACTGCAGAACCTGCATGATCAGGGCTGCCTGTGGGGAAAGGGGGGAATCAGAGACGTGACCTGCCAGAGCAGTCATGGGTTAACAGAGCCAGGAAGGGGCTGTCCCCACCACAGTAAGAAAGTGCTGC